CATTGTTACCATTATTATGATACATATACTTTAATAAGTGTGAATATTTTATTTCAAGACTGACACTCCAAATGCCAATACTAACAATCGACGATTATCAACACCTCTAAATAATGTMAATCACAGTCGAGGTGTCTTGGGTACAAATCGACAACCATTAGACCTTGGTGGTATAACTGGTGTTAGTATGTCGATATCAGCTGGTCCGCCAGGTAGTGACCTACCAGCTTCACATAGTGGTCACCATGGTGATACACGGGGAATTTCGCCAAACAGTGATGATGCTGATGAAGTTGATAGCTATTTTGGTATGTTATCATTGTTATTGTTATATCAGGAGTGGTTCCAGGGGGTCTTCTTATAGCAACTAGACACCCCTGAATGACAAATGTATTTATTATGGACACCATAATTTAACCCTATCCCCCTGACCAATTTGGCATCTGCCCTTGCAAACACTAAAGATAATGACTTATGATCTTTCATCAGGTCATGGACAACCAGCACATTCTCAAAGACGAGGAAGACTGGCGACAATTAGATAGCAAAAACCCACTAATTTAATATTTATATTAGATTCTAACAAATTTTACTTTCTATTTGCACAAAAAGTCTTGTGATCAAAGTTGAAATAGTGCAAGGTGGTTATATAACCAGCTCTTTGTTCTACTTGAGCTTTGTAGAATTATCCTTTTTTATTAATATTCATAATTATTCTCCATTGCAGTAGTTGTCAGTCTTACACTAGTGTTGGGTGACACTGATAACAGCTGCAAGGGAGACTACTCGGAAATCCAGGAATTTTTAAGTGACGGCTTTGGATGCTTGGGAAAACGGAAGTGGTGTTAGTCACCAATTTCCAGCTACACCAGCATTCCTCTGTCCTTACACAATATCCACTGGGATTCAAGTATTCTTTAATGTTAGAATCCATCAAATTCAATTTTTCCCCAGAAATTGTAACACAAGATGAAATAGCATCAGCTAAAGAGAAGGATAATGAACACTGTTCCCGTACAGTAGTTGTAAATAGAGGCTATTTTGAGCCAAGACTGAATATACATATTTCAATGACATTCATTGTCAAAAATTGTTGAACTGAGCGCATAAGGAATGATAATTGCAGGTTCAAAATTTGTATTGCTTAAAATGACTATCAATGCAAATCGAAATCAGTATAGACAGTATATATTGCCATATTATGGCAATCTCAAATCAGTGAGTAACTAACTCTTAATAACCAAACCCAAGACTCGTTGAATGTCATTTCTCTTCTTTTCATAGCTTCTGTTGCAGATGACCTGCAAAAATGACCTGCGATATTCAGGGCAGGGTCACTGGAAGCTAATATTTTTCACCCTTTTGACATCAAACCACAAAGACTCAGGGGGGGGTTCACCAATTGGTCCTATGGAACCAGCCTATCTGTTTACCCAGAGAAATAAACCTTGAGGATCCTTGACCATCAAACCAGCCTTGCGCTTGCACTGAATGTACCTGGTTTGTTAATAGGGACCTCCTAGATTGGTTTAAACAGATATTCATTTGGTAGTTTTCATAATCCGTGGCAGTGATCATATTATATATCAAAATCAAGAACTGAGAGAGTTATGGGAGAAGGTATATGTGATGTTTATTAGGTCGCATTATACCCTTCAAAAACTTTAACTACCCTCCAAAATTAAGTGAACAATTATTAATTTCATTCTATTATTTTCTATATACTGTCTTTGTATCGTATATATTATTAATGTATTATTTATTATTGTCAAATTAATACACATTGTTCACGGGTTTATGGAGACTACTATATGAATATAAGTTTGATGTAATCTTGGGTATATTTCTAGTTAAATAACTGATATGTTATTGTAATATATAGGTTCGATATTAAAGGGATTTACACAAATAAATACTTTAGGCTATGCAACTTCTCCATGTTCCTCGTAAACCGTTTGATTTGCTGCGGTATTTAATTCCCGCGGGTTATATTTATACTGCGGGTACTGCCACCATCTTTAATTTATGGGAGTTGTGACGTCATTTGTGTCAAGCGCGCGAAAACTTTCATGAATTAGAGCGCGTGTTTCAAAACGGCAGGCAGCTGCGACTACACGTCCGTCAACAGAAAAGATGAAAACCTTTGCTAACAATCTACGGTAAGAGCTTAAATTACTACGCTTCGATATAATTGACGTTTGCTTACATGCAAGACGATGAAATGCTGTGTTATATTGTGTCTAACAAAAAGTAATGAAGGTTTCTTTGTGAAAGGACTCAAGTGGTGTCGGCATTTTATCGTTGGAATGCAGCTTGAATTTTAACCTAACGGAAAAGGTAAGCCGGTTAAATTATACACTTATTCACTACTAAGAGTTTAAAAATCCCGTTGTATATTGGATATGGCGATGACTGTGGTGATGAGAATTGTTGAACCAGCTCGAAGAAGTTGAACGTTGAACGTCAACATATTTGAAACATCCATAGCTTAGTGGCAACACGATGCACGAAGAAACTTCTCTTTATACGTTGTTTGTAGTTTTGTAAATTCGATATCAACATCGAGAAAGCTTGCGAATAATGTCATGTGTTCTGGCTGGTGTTTCGAGATCATTTGGCCGGGAAAGCTCGCATGTATTTTCCATTGACATCGACGGCCATGTTTAAACATCCGCAATGTGTCACTATGAGGCGCGTTCGATATTAGAAGAGAAGATCGAAACATCTTGAACATGTATTGTATTTTGTATCATCTTTATACTGTTGTAATTTCGAGGGATTTGCACAAAAGGGGAGTGTTTGTGACTCATACACAACTCTTTGTTTTACCATCTACAAACAAGGTAATCAGTGGGGGGTGGGGGTGGGGGGAGGAGTTAGTCTAGTAGTAGCTCTACTGGTACACATACAGTACACATATTAAGGTGTACAAGCATAACGATAAGAATGAGCTTTACTATAAAGAGAACTAACCAATGAAAATCTATGGATGTGTTTTCACTAACGCATTGCACATAAGCACAGCTACAATCATAAGCATAGCAGTAAGGAAAAAATATATTTTGTTTTTCTAAAATGATGAACAAAAGATAACATTCATGACTTTGCATATCCAGGTTTAAGTGAACAAAGCATTGAGCCTTCTTCAAGGAAAAATGAACACAGTTTTTATTTTATTTCTCGAGTTTACTGATGAAAATCACTCCAACAATCCCAGATTTTTAGAATTAATTGTACAGTATGAAAGAGGTACACTTATGTATGGTATTTAGGTGTCATTTAAATTTTGAATTCAATCAAAAGCTAACAGTTTATCATTGTTCGTACACTTCATATTATAAGACTTGTGTCAAGAAGGCTAGGGGGAGGGATTTCGCCCCACCCCTTCCTCCACTTAAGTGAACGTTTTTAAATAAGCTTTGCGTGCGAGTTTATATGATACACCGCCTTAAATCGTAAGACTRATACGTTCTGTTGCACAGACCAAAACTAAGGCGATAGTACTTTAGGTTATAGGCAACGACGACGTGAGATTTATTTACTGTCAGGTTCAAGTGCAGATCCAGGGGGTGATTCTACTCCCTTTTTAGGGCTCATAAATATAGAAATAGAAAGCATGATATACATGAATAAAAGAACTGAGAAATTAATACTGAATGGGTATCATTGTGAAAAACAACTACACTAGAGCTCGTCGATCTGAACAAAGTTTCATTTTCCACAGCCCCAAATCTCTCTCCTCCTCGGTAACGTTCTGAATTCGCCACTGAGGTTAGGACTACGTTACGGGACTACRTTAGGATTACGTGTGCGTTATGGATTCACCGTATAGGTCCATACCCTAGCTACGCTACGATTACGCGTTAGAGCCGTTACGTTTATCAATCATTTAATTTTCTGCAATATATTTGTTCTGTTCTTCGTCGTGTTTTGGTAACGACGATCTTTCATTCTCAATTAAGTTGTTTCCATTCAACTCTTGCTTCCGAATGCCTCGGCAAAGCTTGCCATCGTCAACTAGGTTCATATTTTCTCCATTTTTATTAGGCATTTTCTCCATTGGATGCGATTTTCGAATACTTACGTGCGTCCTTGGGTCATCCGTAGATGTGTCCCATCCAAGGTATTTCCCTACGTTAATTGTCCCGCACGTTAAAATACGTGCAAATTCTCTTCTATAGTTTAGATTGAATACGGCGTAAATGATGGGATTGAATGAACTGTTCGCTGAAGCCAGCCATATCCCAAAATAGACAGCATAAAGTTTAGTTTGGTCTATTTCGCCTGGATCGAGAAAAACTGCGTGATATGGAAGCCAGCAAAGTGCAAAAACAACGACCACCATTATGAGCATGCGCACGACGCTGACTCGTGCTCTGTGGGCACCTATAACATAATACAATAACGATTTAACAACAATAGATACAACTAATTGAAAAACCTTTGTCAGATAAAGGCTACATCATTAGAACTAAGACCGAAAGGGAGTATGGGAAGGCAAATGGTGAATATTCACGGCTTTCCGTACTCGGGTCCAGCGACCATGAACAAAGCATTGAAGCAAGGCATCGAGGTRCATTGATCACAGATCATTTCTTTAACGCTCACTTTACTTTGACGCCTCGGTTCAATGCTTTGTTCGTGGTCACTGGACCTGAGTATAGAAAGTCGTGAATAATTTCTGCTTGATTTCCAAAACACTCCTCTATGAGAAATATTGATAGTGCTTATGCATTTCCAAATTTCCAAGTGCCCAAAATTCCCTTCGGTCATAGTTCGATAACGGTTTGAACCTGACAACATTTCTTCAATGGTAGCTATGCAAAAATGGTTGTACAATGTTCTTATAAAGACGACAGTAAAACAAATTACACACAGATAGATCCGTACTCCAAGAGTTTATGTGGGACATACAATAATAGATATATATATATATTATATATATATCTCTCTTACACAGGTATCCCAAAACACATGACATATAATAACACATGGAAGCATGAAAAAGGTAAAAAAAGAAACGAAAAAAGATATATTAACGTTTGCATATTGATTATTTATGATTAATGCCCGCTTATAGAGAAGTAGCAGCGAGTATCATTAATGTATATCAGGGATATTGGTCGCATAACCGTCCCCGAGATAAATTACTTATAAAGACCAACGCGGCGAACAAACTGCTAGGTATTATGTAATCCTACTTGGACGAAAAGGGAACCCCCGCTTATAGTTTAACGACACCATTACAATTAAGTCACTTAAAAAGTCATTTGCTTAAAACCACAGAAAACATTGATAATTTTCCAGACATTTTTTTAGTGTTTTGTCAATATTTTTTGAAGCTCATTGTTAAATTAATAGTTCAGATGTAATACATTTCTAATGGTCTCCGATGTCATGGAAAGTAAAGGCGCACGTTTTATTAACAATGTTTTGTCAATATTTTGATTCGAACACTTTGCTTCAAAAAATCAAAAAAAGATGGACGATTCCCCCGAGATATTCTGTGAAGTCGAATCGTCGATTTTTATTCCGATTATTAGAGATTTCGGCTCTTCCATGGTATTCTTCTTTTTCAATATACGTCAAAGCAACCATCTTGGATGGACTTCAACAAAGGATTTCTCATTAGTATTGTTCATTCCTCCAACGTCGATCATCAAAACAATCAATCCCGATAATTGGTCCTAACTTTGCGCTAGTTAAAAAGCCAGTGAGGGAGAATCTAATCGGCCCCTATACCATAGATGATTAACCCCTTGCACTAACCAGGCAATTATCGAAAATATAATGTCAAATCCCGGGTAGTCTATTCGATGAAAGTGTCGATCAAGAGGTAAATGATCGTTGTGGTCTTGTCTATGCTGGAAATCGCTKATTGAATCGATTTGAAACGATCGCTACATGTTCGATTCCAGGAAGGATGACTTTTTTATCACGATTTTCTTTCTTTTTATTGCATTTACTGTATTTGTTTCTTTGATTAATCTTTTTTATGTAATCAACTGAAATATATTATTATAATTTCATCTTTATAGAATATCATATTTTGGTACTAGTATAATACATTCTCAATTATTTCTATTTGTTACAAACATACGCAAAACTATTTTTTTCTCTTTCGTCTCCTTCAATTTTCGGGGAAAAAAAATTTCAATGAATGATTTTTTGCATACTCGCTTGGATTGGGGGCGGTATGTTTTTAAAAAAGCGTCACTCTTAAAATCACCAGCTCATTTATTTGTGGTTATTGTCTTTGTTTTCATGAAATTTTCTCTTATGTATGGTTCCACACCTGGTTTGGTTTTCAATGCCTTTGGGCACTTACTTTGATCGCCCTTTTGTAAATCTTCAATTCATTATATCAGCTTTCAAAAATGGTGTTTGGTTACAGGAAAAAGTTATAGCACTTTGTGTCCGGAACACATTTCCTCCAGCATTTTCACCTTTTTGCTATAGCTGACCATTATATAGCTTTAAAAATAGAGGTTATCGAGACAATGTGAAAAACAGAGCTTATTCAACACGCACGCGCACTAATGACAGATGTATTCATAACATGTAGCTGTAGTAGGTATTTTTAAAATGCTTAAAAGCTTTTTCTTCATAAAAAAAAAAAAAATAAAAACTGATATCGATCAGCCTTCGAATGTCGCACTTTTTGACAACTTGGCTTCCTCTTTGACGACTCCATGCGGCAGCGATAGTCCGTTCCTTCCTGGACTTGTACTTATCCTATGTATACTCAGATGTATTCAAAGCCAATATTTGTAAAACAAAGTTAGTTTGATAAAAATATGAAAACTTGAACTTCATGCAAATTTCAAATCATTCGTTAATCTTATTTTTCCATATCAGGTTTACTACCACTTCTATTTCCCTTAGATCTCTATATTACGAACATCTCAATGCTACGAACACCTCAGTGTCACGAATATTAATGCACCACTTTTTCACTGTCGTGAAAATGAATGAAATTAGTCTAAGAACTGCAAAAGTTATCCTACATTTAACAAGCTGATATCGTAGATATCAG